CTTCCAGTATTCTGTTCTACAAATATCTTTTGCCTTGTCACTTCACTGTTCCTTAACTGTTGGGGACTGTTACTGGTTTCCTTGGCACTTTCAGAGCAGAAAAATGATAACTACAAAGGCCATTTCTTTTCCCAGTGTCTTTTTGAAACAATCATGAGAAAAGATCTTGGAAGCATTTACTGTATGAGTGGGGTTTGTGTTCTTCAAGAGTGACTAAACTTTTGCTACTGAGAATTTGAAAATCCTGATGGACTTGGAAACCCTTTGGAAGTCCTCTGTCACTGAAGCACTGAACGATAAAAACTACGTGGCCATGTAAAGGGAAACACTTTGAGAATGAAAGTAAAAAAACCAACCAACAACAACTTTAGCTTTCACTGCATATACTGCAAAAGTAAATTTTATTTTTTAGTACATGTTTTTCTATCCAATTTTCTTTCCACTCTAATGTATACTAAAACAAACCTAATACTTTTCATACAGTTTTAATCTGGCCTTCGCATGTGTTTGAGTGTGCCCTAGAAGAAGTCACAGCAAGTGGTTTATTTGTGATTTTTAAATAAATGTGCAGAGTAGCAGTGGAACAAATAGGTATCATTAGCTCTGTTCTTAAAATTGTGTGCAAAATAACTAATCTGTCTCCCATCTCACAGGAAAAAGGCATTGTAAACAGGTTCTTTATTATTTATTGAAAGTTGAGAGCATACTTGTGTTATGTGAGCAAGACTTTCTGCTGAGGTGTCCTGGTTTGAGACCCCTAAAATTTAATTCTTGAGTTCAAGCCCCCCTCCCACATCTCAACCCAGTGTGAGATGGGTTTTCCAGACACTACACAAGACTCAATTTGGGGGGGAAAGAGAATTATATTACAATTGCTGTAAAAATAAATATTACAATGCATCATATGCATAATCTTAACTATCTCTCCTATGATAAATCAGTATTTACAATGGATCAATCTCTTCTGCCTCCAATAAAAGTCCAGAAGGGAAAAGGAAAGATCCTTTCCACTCTCAGGGCAGCAGCCTCTCTTCTTCCATGCAGCAGCTGTAGCTGGATTGTTGTAGCTGGATCTCTTTCCAGTACACACGAGAGGTCTACTCTTGCCTTCTCAGCCCTTCGGCTCCAATCGAAGGTCTCTCTCTCTTCCGTGGACTGTGGTAACCAGGACAAAGGTTCACCTCACCACGTCATATCACGAAGTGCAGGGATCTTCGTGACGGTCCCTTTCCTCGGGGGATTCACCCGAGTCAGAACGTCTCGGGCAGCTTTCAGTTGAAAAGCCTTTGCCTCAAGAGTTCTATCAGAGCTCCTGTGCTCTGTCTCATAACTGCCAGCTTGGCAGCAGCAGCAGGGGAGGACAAGGTCACCCTCTCTGCATTCAGTCTGGCTGTCCCAGTCCAGCTCCGGGACGTCTTGAGCTTCTTAGCTCCTCTCTCTGGTGCATGCTGCACTCCAAGACTCCTCTCAAATAGCAGTCCATCTCCTCCTCCTCTCTAGGAGGTCTCAGAGGGGTTTGGGGGGGTTGTTTCAGTTCTTACCCCAAACTCTCTCTCTCTGTAGAGCTTAGTCCTGCTCTGTTTCTCTCCGTTAGAGATCTCTGTGTCTTCCTGCTTGACCGCAGGCTGTCTCTGCTGCATCTTATCTCTTTCTGGCTCTCTGCCATGGTCTCTCTGTTCACTGCTGCTCTGCCGCTGCTTTTCAGTATCTCCTGCTGCCCACTCACAGTGGAGAAAAACTCCTTCAGCTTTCTAGCTACAAATATTTGGCCCAGTCTAACACTGTTCCAAGTTCCTACAGCCCCCCAGCTAGGGCTCAGAGGGGCCCAGCCCTCAGTGGGGCTCCGGGCCCCTTCTCCTCGTGGCCTTACAACAGGGCCACCTCTCTCCAACAACTACAACATCCTTCTTTTCCGGTCTGCTTGTGATATGTTTATATTTTGCAAGAGCGCTTATTGGCTCAACCCCAAGGGACACCACCCCCTCAGGGGTTACTATTTTTTTTAATTCCAGGGGGAAAACTTTTTCCCCCAGCACATGAGGGCAAGTACTGACCTCACATATAATGAGAAGCGCTGTTTGCTCATTTACCATAGTAAAGGTTTAAAAGTTCAATTAAATCAAATGCCGCTTATTCACAGCCTTAAAAAAAAAAAAAAAGGAAGAAAGAAAGAAAAAGAAGGAAAAAACCCCACTGAACAACCTAGTCTGTAATTAACAACACTATGATGAAGATTGAAGGTTTTATGTTGCCTGTGAGAATGTTGTAAGTAGTATCACGTTGAATGCAGAACATGTTCTTAGTTTATGCATGGGCTTAGTGTATAGAGATATTATTAGCTTAGTGTATAGCAGATATAATTGTATACCCATTGTCTGTGACATATAAGAGAGGAACAAAATTAAAAATACTTAGCTGTATGGTAAAAGTCTTGGCCACATGGGAAGAAACATAGTCAGTGAAATAATGTGGGGTCCTACATGTTTGTAGGACTTCATGAACACCAATGTTATAAAATGCTGGTATTTTATTCACATTAAAAAGGGGTAACTAATTCATACCCCATCAGATTCTCTGTTTTAGTAGCTGTTATTTTTTTTCTTCGCATTATATGTTTTACAGCAATCCAGTTGCTGTGAGCAAGAGTATCCTCAGAAGATAGAAATATCTTCTTTTCATTTTTTTAATATTATAAAGTTAACAAGAGAAAAAGACCCTTCTATCTGTAAAAAATATTTTCTTAGCAAACACAATTGGTAGCTAAAATGTATGCAGAATAAATCTCTGTTTATTCACTCTGAAAGAAACTTGAATGGTGACTCTGAGCTTTACAGATCAATGTAATTGCCACATCTCAGACAGTTGCAGGGGATGATTGCTAGAATAATCACACGGGGGTTTTTAGTTTGCGGGGGATTTATTCCTTCTTATTTTGAGGAGGATACAATTACTTTAAAAATCATTGGTGCCTCAATCTTCAGCGTTCTCACCATTGCAATATCTGTCTGATGAAGTGAGAAAGACCTTAGACTTTGAAGAGTTTGGAAGAAAAATACGAAGATAAAAGTACCTTATTCGTTCACTCCACTTTACTACTCTTTCTGCCAGCTTGAGAAAAATTGGGTCTTACTTTAAAGCCTGTGTTAGAAGTGGTGGTGAAAATAACCCTCAGTAATGTTTTATTTGTGTAATTAGATGTCTGATATTGCAGTAACTCTGGATGATCCCATCCTGTTCTGTTCACGATTCCTGTTTTGGCTGTCATAGTCTCCAGCAAATGCGCACAGAAGAAGAAAATAATTTTAGTAAAAAGATAACCATGTTTTCGTTCTTTTTTCTTTTAATTGCATCTAATTTAAGGTAGAGGAATAGAAGAATCTGTTTTCTTTCACTTCACTCTTTCTTCTTTGGTTTACTATTAATTTTAAGCGTTACTGTTACTGGCTTATAAATAAGTGCTAATGACATAACTGCGGGCAGCACAGGAGAAACAGACTGACATGGATCTCCTGTTTTTTCCAGATGAGGATAGGCATTCACTCAGGTTCAGTGCTGGCTGGTGTTGTTGGCGTAAGAATGCCACGCTATTGTCTCTTTGGGAACAATGTCACCCTTGCAAGCAAGTTCGAGTCAGGAAGTCACCCACGCCGCATCAATGTCAGTCCCACCACGTACCAGTAAGTCCTCTTAGCCTTTTCATAATCTGTCTTTCAGCCTGTTTTGAGTTTGATCTTGTAACATGCTCTGTCCTCAACACATGAACTTCAACAGAAAGTCATCAAGGCACCAGGACAACTGGAAAGAGGTGTTACATGGGGATGTTCGTCTTTCTTTTGCAGGTTTGCATCAGAATGTGCAAAGAAGTCAGGCAGGGGAGACGAGGAGGCACAACAGAACAGCTAGCCATTTCTGCCTAAAATAGCATGTAACAAAAAAAGTGGGAGATATTTCCCAAAGCACGATAGTTTTGTGCACTATTACAGCTTTTGGCTAAGGATTTGAGTTCCACCCACTGAACACAGTTCATGAAAGTAAGGACATTCCCATTAGCTCAGAAGAAAGTCTCTAATTTTGCCAGTAAGGCCAAGCTTTCAAAGAGTTTTTATGCTTTCTTGAAGACAAAATTTCTTATTTAGCACTTTAAAGAGACATATTCTTAACGTAGGAAAAAAGATTGAAAATGGCAAAGCATTATCCCTATTTCTTTGAAAAAATTATGCAAATAGAGAGAAGGCTTGATTAAATCGGGTTATGAGGAACAGCTCCTAAAATAAAGTGTTCCTTATTGTTCAAATTTGACAGTTTGATTATTAGAGTTTCTACTGATTGGACTACAGCTGATGTACTCACTTTTTTTTGGCAGATATCAATCTTGCTCTTTTTCAGTGTTTTATATCCAAAGTAATTTTCTGAAGTAAGATTTTGCTCAGGTTTTGAAACTGAGTGGTAAATCTGTATACAGTTGTTGAAACAATATTGCTTTTCTTTAGTTTTTTTCCTATTCAGAACTGTGAATATCAATTTTTTCCTATACTTATCTACGTAAATAAAAATTTCAAGTGGGATTTCTTCCTCCAGAATTGAAGTGTCTAGTGTGCTAAAATATGAATCAGTCAGAAACTAAGGTTAAAAGTAATTAAACTAGTGCATAAAATGGCATTCTTCTGAAGATCACATTCACTTGAGATCAGATTTTGAGAATGGAGCAAGTGTAGCAAATTGAACAAGAGGCAGAATAACTGAATAGGCTTTCTATCATAAAGTGAACAGACATAGATTGATAGAGTTGTCTGGTAACATGCAAGAGAAAGACCCAATCTACTATTGTTTATAGAAAATGTTTTCATTTAAATAAAAATAAATTCAATAAATATATAGGAAATTTCTGTTTGCAACTTGGTGTCATTTGAAAAGAAATTGTCCTTGGGACCTTTCAGATAGCGTTCTACTGCTTTTGGTTCTGGTCTTCCACTGTGGGATAGGAGAAACCCTGTAAAACATTGTTTGAATAATCAGCATGAGATTGTTCACCAGTTGGGTGCCAGTTATAAAAGTTACAAAGTAGCAGGGCCTTTGGTGTTAATTTTATACAAATGAAGGTATGTGTTCTGGCAAAAAGCAACCAAGGCCCTATGACAGGGACCTGAACTTTCCTTGAACAGGATCAGTTCTTAAAAAGAAATGTTCTCCAACCTGAGGTGGTCTTCAAGTTATTCTGAAAGTGCAGTGCATACTTTTTCAGAAGAGATCGTAGTACTTCACAAATGTGGTTCAGGGGGGTGATTTCACTCAAGGCTATGGTGTTGCTTGCTCATATTTCTGTCCCTGAGAGAAGAAATTGGGGAGTTAGGCAGTTTTGTGGAAATATCATGAATGTACATTTGGGGAACTAATGATCACAAAACTCCCTTCTTTTCACGCTGGAGCCAGAGTCACTTTCATGTACGAGTGCCAGTTCTGTAGAGTTTGGTTATGAGTGATATGGCACCTCCTCTGTGACACACAGATTTGTGGTCACTGTTGAGCAACCTGATCTAGTTGATGTCCCAGCTCATTGCTGGGGCATTGGACTAGATGGCCTTTAAAGGTCCCTTCCAACCCAAACTATCCTATGATTCCATGGTTGCTTTTTTTTTTTTCCATCACATAAAAAGTTTGTTCTGAAATCTAGTTTGTGGGCTTCTATGTGGAGTTTGTTAGAAATCTGTGCTTTTATGCTGCCCTTCATCTGACTCCTAGTGCACTGTAGCACAGAGAAGATGGATTCTCTCACCTCTACCTGGCTGCCATTGGTCATACTGTACCATAGCAAGTCAAATGTGGGTAACCTGGGTTTGGAGAGCATTCTTACTAGGTCCTAGATAGCATAATATGAGTCAGATTTTCTCACCCTGTGTGTCTTCCAGGTTGCGTCAAAAAAAGGGCTATGGGTTTTTTTCACTTCCCTTTAATCCTAGAAATCCAGTAGGAATATGACCATTTGTTTCAAGATGGCCAAATTTTCACCTTATATGACTATTATGTCTATGCTTATCTTCCAGAAAGTTACAAATTTAGACTGTTGCTTCTAAAAGAGAAGACAATAGAAAAGTAGTTGGCATTGTAATAATGCTGTAACATAAAATTGCAAAACAAAACACAGCAAAATATGGAATTATTGGTATTTATCTGCATTTTTTGTACTCTGTAAACAATCTGCTGTTATGTGCTGAACAAATTCAGTGCTTGATTCAGAGAACTTTAAGTGCAAGTAATAAACTAAACACATGATTACAGGTAAAGGAAGAAAAAATGCCAAAAAAATATGTTTGAATAAGAGGCAGTTATCGTTCAAGGTAAATGGCTAAAAGTAGTGATGATCAGGCTAGGAGCAATTTTATATTACAGGCTTCAGAGATTACATGAGAAGATAAAATGAATGTGCATGTGGCAACTTGAAAGGACTATTTCAAACCATACCTTCTGGCATGGTTGAAAGCTTGAAAACAGACAGGGAAAAAGTAAAAAAATGACACTGCTGACACAGCAGCCAGGAGAGACTGCAATTACAAAATACTCTAAGGAGCAGAATTATTTGGAGCTGCCGAAAGTGATCTAGGAGATTTGAACGTAATATCCTTGTACTGTCCAAATAAACAAGTACTGATCTGATACATCTTTATATTACTTTTCTTGAATATAATTTGCACGAGTACACTGTACACAAATAAAGTGATTCATTACAAACTGAAATGCCTTTATATTTGACTTTATGTTCTATTAAATGCTTATATTTATTATACTATGCTGCTGTGTACTCAGTTAATATTTCTATTATCTAGGAAGCAATGTTTTCCACAGTACATAATTCTGCAATCAGTATGAAAATAGCAGAATTTTCGATTAAATGAAACTACTGGCATACAAGTTTTGTGCTTATAAAGTATGCAGATACTAGAAACTTGTCCAATACTTGTCAGCTTTTGTTTTACAGTAAAGTTTATGCATCATAAAGCGTCATTAGCATTCAAATAATAATCACACTTCGGAATACCTATTATTGATTTCAGACACTTCTCTGCAAGCCTGTAATCTGCTAAGTAAGAATCATAGTCTAAAATTATAAATACAAGATGTGATATTTGTTGCCTAGCAGCAACAGTGAACCTGGGGCAGCCTCACTCCAGTTACACCTGCCTGGGCAGAGCTTTGCAATATGTGAAACAGTGCCTTTTAAAAAGGCGAACTTAGAATCTATTGAATCTGAAACCTCACTTCTGTTTGAAATATCTTGTTCTCTAAATTCAGACAGGTCTTTTGACAGAAGGATCACAGAGCCCTGTTTGCTCTGAATCACTGAGCACTGTGAAATGAAATCACTGGAACAGCACTGGTAAAACTTCGAGTGGAACATGTGGAAGCTGGAGAGGAAGTAGAAGATCTCAAACTGGTCTCTGTTTAAACATGTGGACAGGAAGGAATAGGAAAAGAATCAGCTGCGGGTTTATTTAATTCATCCACTTTATCCTGAATTGAATAGAATTACCCTATTTTCCATACTCAGGAAGGAAGCACAATGAGATTTACAAAACTATTGAGCAGAGAAGAGAGATTAAATATTTTTTAATTCTTTGTTTCAGTCTTGAATAATTATTTTTATGGGATATTAATATAATATACCAACATTCATCTTGTTTTCCTAGTTGTGTTGCAATGCAATGTCTTGAGATTTCTAAAGCAGTTTTCAAAAGCAGGTAAACACAATTGTTGCTATTTATGAAGTTTAAAAAGAAATTATTTTTCTTCCTGATCTTTCTACCTCTGGTCTTTTCCATCATGCATTTCCCTTGTGGAGAATGTGCTTCTGAAATTAAGTGCTGCATACAGATACTTTCCATTATCACATGCTGGGTGATACATCTGGGATCTGAGCTTAGGGAAAGTTGAACAGCCTGTATCCCATATCTTTATCTTGATTTAGGAGAGAGAGCAACCCAAGTGTACCTCCCTATTCAGCTGGGTGAGGTCACTCCGTGTTCACTTGCCTAAATTACTCCTCAGTCTTTAAAATTGATTAAACCCTGCAGAATTTATATATGTTTTTAATAGTTATTTCACAGAAAGTTGTATGAAAGAAGTTTTAGGTAATTAGAGAAGTATTTCTATAAACTCCTTATAGATTTTTTCTAATCAAATTCTTTTTCTTACAGCTTATGTCTATTCATATATATTACTTTTCCTTCAGGTTATATCTATATCTACATCTATATTTTTCTGCCTCGTATGGACAAACCAGTGGGTTTGCTCTCCAGGAAGGCAGTGCATAGTTTCCTTTGCTGTAGTGTGTTTTATTTCTTTTAGAAATATTGTTCAAATTTGATCTATACAGACTCTGATTCAGATTCAGTCTTTTCAGATTATTTTGGAGCATTCTTTAAAAAACTGTTTGTTTTTATGTTGTTCAATTAACTGTGTATGCTTTCAAGAAATGTTGAGGGGAAGACAATTTAGTTATGGACAGAACTGGTACACACCTTATACATGGACAGAAAAAATTATTGTTAGTCTAATTACAGTATTAAAAGTGTAGACAAAATGTGCTGGCTTATTCTCGGGTTTCTGTTCCCAGTGTCATCTGCTTCCATGAGGCTGCACTCCCCCGTAGTGGGTGTGATTATGGTCCTGGGGCCTCTGCTGC